CTGCTTCGAAGTCACTTGGGCCTAAGTGCTTTCGGCCTTGATATGGAACACATTCCGGGTCATCTTGGCCGAAAAACTGAAACGTTATTGTCATGATCCCGGACTCCGTGAAGAACTTGAGTGACGACCTTTGTTAACGTGATGCGGAGGGCTTGAGCTCTAACACGAGTGAGAGGAGGCTCGACTCTATGGCTTACTCGGGGAGCCTTCGCGTTGTGCACGTCAAATCCCGTTCCCGCAGCTTCGAATGATCTTGTGATGTTATGATCATCCGGCAAGAGTCTTGACACCTGTTGGGTCAAGTCTTGAACATCTTCTAGAGCTCCTTCCGTTAAGCTCCCGTCCTCGTCCAAGTTGCTAGCTCCGATGTCCTCATCATTCCCTCCCCCTTGCGAAGATTTCGCCCTCGAAATTCTATTTTCTGCAACAAAAGGAAATGTATCAGCCACCTTAAACATAGAGGACACCTTATACGTACCTTGGTTTCGGCGGATGTGCTCGACATCATATTGCTCTTCTTCTCGTGTTCTTCCTCGATCGAATGGCTCGTATTGCTTGATTGTTTTTGGGTTTATAGCGGTTCTAATCCTTGAATCATCCATGCATCTATGATAAAAGTATTTGACTTCGTGTGCTCGGATGAGGCTTTCGATGGTCATTGTTTGAATTGCCTTAATCTTCTTTTCGACCATGTACAAGATCTGCAATCTAGTAGCAAAATCGAGGACAACAATGTTAGGGCAGCTTGTGTTCTCATCAAATTGCTTCCTTTGGTTATAAACAAGAATAAAGATCAGAATGAAGTTACCGCGTAAGGCTCTTGGAGTAAGGAACATGACCCAAATGTGTGTTCGAGTGTTGGTGGTGTCGTAAGGACGGATCAAGTTCTCCACATTTGTATACTTTCCTCGTTCGAATGGTGCGTCCTTCTTTGGTTCCATGGGCATTAAAGTGATCATGCTTCTTGGGTGCCCATTGAGTTGATGGTAATGAATACTCTTGACATGCAGAATTTGATCTTGGAAAATGCACGTAGTTGCCTCTTCTTGCACTTCTTTGACCCTTTCATCAAAATGTAGTACTTGCGAACAATTAACAAGATCTAGAAAAACAACCTCATTAGTGTAGTATGTGCATCCCTTGAGAACTTTATATAGGTAATCCATTTGGAAAGTTTGCATTTGTTGCTCAAGATTCATAACATACTCATCAAAATATGAATCGTACACAAGAATAAAAGTAGGAACGAAATTACCGATTGCTCCAAGTTTTTGACTTATGATGCAAGTGCGGTCGTTGGTGATGTCATTCGTCATCGTCGAAGGTTTGCTTACCACCTTGAAGCCATCATTTTCCTTCTTGGA